CCAGGCCACTGTAGTCGCACAGTTCCGCGACTATCATGCTGAGAAATACTCCGGGCAGGGAGTTCCCCGTATCGTGGACGAGTGGATTCAGGGCCTTGAGTTGATTTTTGATGTCATGGATTGTCCAGATAGATATCGCGTTATATGCGCTCAGCTTCAGTTAACCAGCGATGCCCGACTCTGGTGGAATGCCTACTGGAGCATGCGTCCCGGCGAGAAAGAGGGTTGTACCTGGGATAGGTTCAGGGAGATAATCCGCGAGAAGTACTATCCCACGTACTACCGAGCAGAGATGGAGCGTCAGTTCCTATCGCTCTAGCAGGGTACTCGTTCTGTTGACGAGTACGAGAGAGAATTCACTAGACTTGCAGCTTTTGTTCCGGACTTGGTGCGAACGGAGGCACAGAGGGCACAGCGCTTCATTGACGGGCTTTACCCAGCAGTCCGTCACAACATTGTAGGTCATGGGACCCAGACCTATGCTCGTGTTGTTTCGATTGCCCAGGAGGTAGACGCTAGCATTCATAGGGAGGCCAGTCGTGATCGTCCCCAACCATTCGCCCCCGCTCAGTCATCCGCAGCTCCACCAGTTGCCCAGCCGTCGAGAGATAAGAAGAAGAAGGGAAGGGGTGCCCAGACCGACAGGAGGACCCGCCAGAGGCAGCAACAGGTTCCACCATGCCCCACCTGCGGACGACTTCATCGCGGAGAGTGCCACATGGGCCAGAATATTTGCTACTACTGCCACGAGCCCGAACATTTTGTTAGTCGCTGTCCGAAGAGACTTCAGCAGCAGCCACCACAGCAGCCTCAGCAGCCACCGCAGTAGTAGCAGAGGGGCAGACAGCAGGCCCGAGTTTACGCAGTTGATCAGGTCGAGGCCGAGCAGCAGCCAGGTACTATGTCAGGGATGATTGCGCTTAATAATGTTCCTGTGTTTGCTTTGTTCGATACTGGAGCGACGCACTCTTTCATTTCACGACGATGCCTTGATGCCATCAGAGTTCATGCTATTACCGCTGTTGATCCTCTCGAGGTGAGTTTAGCCTCGGGACGAAAGATAGTGACCTCAGCTAAAGCTTCAGATCTCAGCCTTTCCATCGGTGGTCGTTCATTGTCTGCCGACGCGTATGTTCTCGAGATGAGGGACTTTGACCTCATTCTCGGAATGGATTGGCTATCCTATTATCATGCAAATATCTGATGTCATGACCGGGAGATTACTCTCTATCTTCCGGGAGACGATTTGATTACTTTCTTTGGCACCAAAAATCGTTCTTTACCTCATGTCGTTTTGATGACGAAAGCCACCAAATTGCTGCAACGAGGCAATTGCCAGGGTTATCTGGTGAGCCTTGTCGATGATTCTCAGAAGGCACGGTCACCTCACGATGTTCCCGTTGTTCGTGAGTTTGTGGACGTGTTCCCAGACGAGCTTCCAGGAGGACCGCCTAACCGGCAGGTGGAGTTCTCTATCGATCTCATTCCAGGAGCCGGCCCAGTATCTAAAGCCCCATATCGTATAGCGCCGAAGGAGTTGCAGGAGCTTAAGGCGCAAATCTAGGAGTTATTACGACTCGGTTTCATCCGACCGAGCGTGTCACCTTGGGGAGCACCC